GTTACTACACATAATTTTTTTTTAATTTTCCAAATATAAATATAGAGTCTACGAAAAAGCTAATGAATTCGTTCGAATCCATGAACCCCCACCTAACTCCGCCTCTGCGAATAATCTCTAGGTGAATAATGTAACTAAATAGATATATATTCCATCCAAGCTAGGTCACACTCAACTAAAGCAAATGGAGATTTTTTTAATTGAGAAAATTGCAACTCAATCAAGACATCTACAAAACAAGATCTATTACAATGTCATATCGCTTGATGATTACAAACAATGTATACATCATTCGATATCGATGACTTTTGATTCAAAATTCATCATCATTTTGTGTTTGAATATTATTAACCAAATTACAAGCGTAATATATGGAGAAAGAAGGACATAAAATCTTTGTGGGATCTAATAGGCATGTGCAATTCCCTTTCATTTTTCTTTTAAATTAATACGTCCCATCTACAATTTTATTTTATTTTTCCATGCAATTTTAAGGAGCATTTACATGTGCCCCCTACCTAATAATATTCAACCTCAACCTTATGCTAATTATGAAGGATGTTGACCGTAAAAGAATACTATAGGTATAATATTGCCTCAAAAAAGATTGTGAACCGACATGGAATTATAACAAAATTTTGGTCAGTACACCCTCATAGCATTTTACTATTATATCTTCTAACTTTTTGTGTTTGTTTTATTTACGTAACATTTTTTGATGAAAATACTAAGATAATCACATAATTCAACAATTTCATGATATATATTGTCAATATTTTCCTTTGAAACTAAAATGATATGTACATTAAAGTGAAAAAGACAGATGTGGAGACGATAGGTTGCAAAGGAAAGACATGTAGGGATCGATTAAAACACTTAATTAGTTTGATAAGATATAAAAATCACGATTACCTCTTATCTGACTAACTGTCTATGACTCATATACCGGTCCACACTTCGGTACATAATATAATATCCAAAATAGTAACGTTATATAACGGAGTATTCAGTATCAGAATAAGCATATCTCAATTATTAAACACCGAAAAGATTAAAAAGATGGAAGATATATTACACATGGTAAAAAGATTGTTATTTGAATAATTCTACATATATATATATTGGAGAGAAAAAACGCAACTCGATATAAAGATCTCTAACAAAGTCATATCATGTTTTATTTTTTAAAAGTAGTGATGAATTGACTACGATATTCACATGCATCAATATATACTTAAACTACTATAGATTAGTTTATCATTTGTCTTTTGAAATATTAACCAAATTAGAAGCTTATAAATATAAATAACGATAGAAAATCTGTGGGGACTCATGCATGTGCTTACCCTTTTGATTAGTACGTCCCATCTTCATTGTTTTTTCTTCATGCAACTTGTAATTAACGAGAATTATATTCTCATAGTATTGTCATAACCCATATGGTAAGCAAAATTTAATGTTGTAATACTATATTCAGATGAGAATTATCTGATATTAATGTTGATGACTAGAGTATTCTTCGAGTCGAGGTTCGTACAAGTTGATCTGTAATACTTATCAGTATTTTTTTTATGATGAAAAATATAAAAGTAATTCATATGAAATAAATAGAAAAAGGGAATCCTCCAAAGAAAAATGAAAGAAAAAAAGTAAAAAAGTTTATAGTTATTTTTATGACACTTATGAAAGTGATCTATGGTGGATTGTCTTCCACTAATTATTTCAATGTCTTACTCTTGTCCTCTTCAGTACAATATCACTCCACTTTTATATTTTACTTCATTACGTCCTTTCTTTCTTATTCATGGGTCATGGATTGATGGGGTATCAGCTACAAGTTTAATTGAATTTTTTAATTTTAATTTAAACTTTATTTTTAGAAATTATCAAATAATTATAATTTGAATGTCATAAACTTCAAAGATCGCGATATAAATTAACTCAAAAATTTTTTACTTTGCTTTGTTGATCATGAGTATCATGATGCATGCATGTCTAATGCATTATTTTTTACTTCAATTGTATATATATAGAGAGAGTGTGTATATTATTGTAAAATAGTCCCTTGTACAACTAAATAGACATATATATATATCCAATCAAAGCTAGCTAGCTAGCACCCATTAAGGTCTTATTAGAGCAAATGAAGATTAATTTCTTGATGGAGAAAAATATCATTTAATATCTCTATTAAACAAAGATTTATTTCAAAGTCATATCATGTTTTCAGGATATAATATTAGTGTTGATTGTGATATTAAAAGTTCAAAATCCATCATTTGTCTTTGAATAATATTAACCAAATTACAAGCGTAATATATGGAGGGAGAAAGAAATGAAATCTTAGTGGGGACTCATATTATATATGTGCATGCAAAATTCCCTTTCATTTTCTTTTAATTATTAGTAAGTCCCATCTCCAATTTTATTTTGTTAATTTCTCCATGCAACTTGTAAAGAGCATTATCATGTGACCCTTTGGTTTGGCCACCCTATATACTACCCTCTCTAGACCCCGCTCACGCTCAATCCTTTCTCCTTACACTTATGGAGAGGAGAGGAGAGAATATCGACCGCAAAAGCAATTCCGTACCGATAAATTAATAATATATCGATCTATCCTTAAAAAAAATCTATCGATGATTTGTGACGGAATATTAATTATGACAAACAAGTTTATTGTCACAAAAAAAAAAGTCGCACCACTCGAATTTGTAATGAATTATGAAGAATTCTTGGTCACACAATTTTTTGCTATTCATCAATGTACTTTATAGGTAAATGTACATATGGAATGTGAATTAGTGTCAACCATATATTTTTTATTATCTTGTTGGTTAGAGGTCAAGCCAAGTGTAAATTAACAGTATAGATGTGGATTCAATATTTGAGGCCATAACTTTAACCTAGATCGATTTATATTTATTTATGCAAAATCTAATTAAACTATTGAACTATGAATTTAGAATTTAAATAAGGTAACAAACTCACAATATTAACACGATTTTTTAGCACGGGAAGGCATGCCAAGGTGATGTTATATAGAATTAAAATTCTGAATCTGCGTCTGAATTGAAATGCACCAAAAATCTAACCCTTTTGTAGTGAAGTTTGCTTGAGGTTTTTTTGTACGTGGGTACTCCAAGCAAGTTGGGAAGGGCCCAATTTTTAAGGTCCAAATAAAGTTGGTTAATACGTATTAGCTGGCCAGCTTTATTTAGTTGGGCCCAAATCGAACTAAATATTGAATGAGAACCAATAACTCTTGTACAAATATAATGTTCCATCAACAGAATATTGTTTTCTTTTTGCTCTTATCTGGACCAAGTCTCCAAACTTTTCATCCATGTTATGATTACCTAATAAATTCTTTCAATATCACCAATGACCTCCACTTTCAAAGAGATTAAATTATGCTAATGGAGGGACCTAAAGAGCACCTTTTCGTGAATTATTGAAAAGATAGACACTCAAAAAAATTTAAAATCTCGCGCAGAAGAGCGTGGAGGTATTACTTTTGACATTTTTCATTCACTTGATTTGTAAAAACTATAGTCTCTCTTTTAATGTTTCCATTTGTTATAATTTATTTGATTTGATTAAAAAAAAATAAACTAATTAATATTTGGTGTGCATTTGATTATATAACATAAGAATTAATATTTGGTTATAGAATCTAAGTTTTTTTAAAAATAAAATTTGCATATTTATAAATTATATAAAAGTAGTACAAGTCAAAATATATATAGTTAACATTTAGAAAATGTTTCAAAAATTACGATTCAAAAAATATTCTTTTAACTTTAAATAACTAAACCAAACAAATCGAGATGAAGAGAGTATATTATTTAGGTACCGTTTGTTTTACAATTTTTTATTTTAACAAGGTTCTTTACACAGTTTGTGGTGTGCGGAAGTGAGAGGATTGAAATATTGAAAAGTTTTATTTTTTCTGTTGATTGTTTTAGTATCGCTAATTAAAGTAATATACTTCTAAAATTACACAATATCGATGAAGTATATTAATTGTAATATCTCTAGCGAATCTTACATAAAAATGAAAGAAATGAGTAAAGAAAAATATTAGGCTTTAGTTTTGAAATTAGATGTAACATCGTAAAAAAATTTAATCTGTGCGATAATTTCATGAGCTTCGGCCTTTGCATTGTAATTGCATATCGAATATAATAAGTATTTGCTTAAATAGCGAATCCAAAGTATTTTTTTTAAAATTCACCTTTGCCTTTGGCTTTTTTATTACTCATTATCTCTTAGTGCATGACAGCATGTGTAAGAAATTGAGTAAAAAGTGTAAAAATTGGCAAATGAAAAAACAAGAAGGTAAAGTTCCCACCCAAAAAGTGCTCATAAAAAAGCTAAAGTGAATTTACATATTCACCATTAATATTGCTTTAATTACCTCATTTTGAACTATTCAACTCACTCAAGTACTCCATGACTCGTCCTCGTTACACAAATGTTGCTTTTTCTAATACTTTATAAATTACAATTATTATCATGTCTTTTTGTATACGTATATATCAATAAATCTTACGTTAGCTGTCAACAATATTAAAATACTCAAATTATTTTTTAATAAATTTTCAATTCAACTAAAATATGTAAAAATAATTATAATAGATCATGTTTCTACTGATTCACACCATCAGAGTCCATTATAATTTACCTTAATTAAAGTCACCAATATTTTGATAAGATTACCCAAAGTTTTGACCTTGTTTGTGCTATTATTCTTCCTCTTCCATAGTGCTAACACAAATATTTTCCAATCAAAAAATTATATAACCTTTTTTAGTGTGTACATAACACTCCACTAGAATCACATCCTTGTAGGATTTAAGGTAAAATTTTGAACGTAAACTAACACTCAAACAATGATAAGGACCACCACTAACCGCCCAAATCACATCGAGTGATACATTTACATCGAAAGAATATTCAACATCAAAAGCCAAATCACATACTTTTCCATAAAAAAATAAAAAATAAAATCTTCAAGAGTGATATATATCAATTACGTAAATATTAAATTTTACAACTTTTTCTTTGAACAAAAGAGAAAAAAATATGTATAAAGTAAATTTCAGAAAAGAATAACATGATTCACTTGAACTTTCACTTCATTGGTGATTCATTTCGATTTCCTAGTAATTATCTGCATTTGAAACGTAACAGACTCTCTTTATAATCTGAAGTCTGTCAATGAAACATTTCGGGATGACTCAATTTTGTTTTTCGCCATCTCCATCTGCAACATCACAATTTTTCTACTCCTAAAATTAAACTCAATTTTTTTTTTCAACACACTGATTTTTCAGTACATCCACCCAGTAACGCTCGAGATTCACCGAAATTCTCAATACGATTCCTGTACCTTGCATGGCATGATTTCTGAAAATCCTCGATATTTAACGAACGAGTCCAGTTACTCGATCCAGATCTAGAAACGAACCTAAGGATCTCCTCGAATAAAAACTCATCGCAAGGTATAGCCAAAGTGCCATGATTAGAGAAACCATACTCTTCCTCTGCCTGAGTCAGTAGCTTCCTGAAAATCGGATGATTCAAATACTTCGCTCGCACCACGAATCTCCGGCAATTACTGCCTACCGAGATCGCCACGTGTCCGGCAGGTACATCAGAAGCTATGCGTTTCGATGAAGAAGATATAGCTCTTTTCTTCCATTGTCGAAGCATCTGACTGATCCTTACAATACAACGAATCCGATTGAATTTTCCAATCTCAATCGACATCTCCAACAATCAAATACAATTAAAGTGTAGAAGAATTGAAGGAGTGAGTTGAGTAAAAAGAGAGGTTTATTGTTTAATTTTTAATACTATGAAAAAGCGTATGAAAATGGTGATTATATAGACTGGATAAATGAAAAGACGAAATTGTCCTTAATAGATGAGGATATCTACAGATGTTATAACGCCCATGTGGTGGGCTGAGAAAAAGTGATTATGATTAGTTGCCCTTGTGGACCCCACACTACAACTAACACGCCTCTAATACGAATCTTTGTGTGGATTTTCTTTTTTATTTCCATTTTTGTCTTTTTTATTATATTGAATTTTTATTTCTTTTGAAATCATTGAATAAGATAAGATAAGGTAAATGTTATTATTTACGTCTTTGAAATAGTAAAACTCGTCAGTATTATTACCTTTTCAACGGGCGTTTATCTGGTGCTAATTAATTGGTATCGAAAACAAAATACAACAAAGAAAGTAGTTTTGGAATATGAATTAAATTTTTAAAAATATTTTTTTTTCAAAAGTAAAAGTTAAAATACTCTACAAAAATAGGTTAAAGAGTTCCAAATATTTGGCATTAAATGATAGTTTAAAACTTTTAATACATCAAAAATATATTCATTTATTATGAATTTCACATTTTTAGAAAATGTAAATTTCTCCCATTAATTTGTTTAAATAAATTATTTTGAAGTTGTCAATGCTAGTTTTTTAGATTTATCTATGAGAGAGAATAGTAGATCTCTTACGAAATATAATAATGAGAATCAATTTCAAGATATGATACGAATAAATTAACAGATTAATTAACTAAATAAGCATTAATTTTAATACAACTAATTTCACCTTACACCCCTTACTGTTCTTCTTTTAAAAAATGAATCAGTTATTGAACCAAATTATTAGAAGATATCTTGTCTATCAAGGATCTTTCAGTTCCTGTAATCCTACACTAAAAAATGAAAATGGTAAAGATTTGGGGAATATATTATGGGGCCCTGCATATATAATGCATCTAACCACATGTAATTATTTAGATAATTAACTAATTAATTTCCATTTAAGGGATGCATGTTTTTCTAATCAATCACCTCATCAAACTGGGGGAAAGAAAACCGAAAATAATATTGTGATTTGTATAATCTTTTTAATTAATATTGTGATTTTTGTAATCCTTTTTCACAGATTTATCACCTCTCCTATTAGATTAAATTCCTAATTAAAACATTAAAAAAGAGTTGATAAAAGTGCATTTGGATCAGCTGTGGCCCAAACCAATTTAATGGACTATCGTCCATATGGCCACTGAGTTGTAACACGGCCCAAAGTCCATGAAATCCACTACATCCTTACCGACCTAAAGAAATGGGTCCTTTCGATAAACGGACTAAATTATTCTGAAATTAAATTCATACGAGTAGATTTTACATGATTTTAATATGAAATTATAATCTATTTCTCTTTAGTTTGTAATTACATTAATCTCTTTAAAAGTAATACAAATCGGATATGTTAATATGTGGTTCGAATACATCAAAAAGTATCTCAAATACATTATAACATAAATCTGATACATGAAAAACTAGCTCAGATACATAATATGTAGCTCAATTACATTAAAAATTAGCTCAAATACGTTAAAACATAAACCGAATACATAATATGTAGCTTAGATATACTAGCTCGGTATTTTTTTCCTTAGGATATTACAATATATACATCAAAACTAGTATTGAATGCATTCGAGTTACATATTATGTATCTAATTTATTTTTATAATGTATCCGAACTACTTTTTAATGTATTCGATTTATGTTATAATGTATTTGTGATACTGTTTAAATATATCTGAACTTCATAATAATGTATCCAATTTGTATTACCTTTTAAGAAATTAATGTAATTACAAACCAAAGAGGGATAAGTTGTAATTTCATATTAAAACTTTTTTATTACTGTAAAGTTTACATTAATTTATCATATAAATCTATGCGATCCTAAACTATTTTTTTAGAACACCAAAGCCTAGGCTTGAACCCAAACCTCCCGGACAAATTTGAATAACCTTAACTATCGAGATATCTTTTTTACTATGTCTGACAACTAGCATATAACAAAAAATATTGATATTTACCGTTATATACTCGCAGAAGTTTTTACGACGACGATTTTCCATCCGTCCACCCTTGTTAAAGTGTAGCTCCGTCGTTACCAACTGTAGACAATAAAATTCTCGTCGAGAAAACAATAATCAAGAACGGAAAATTACAGTAAAAATCAATTTTATTATTTCAAATGCGAGTGTTACAATTCTCTATAATTCCTCTGAATTCGCCTTTTCAAATATAAATTCAAGGGCTTTAAAGCTTGTTCTTGAATCTATGATGAACTTGAACTTGATCTTGACTTTTATTTGAACTCAAGGGCTTCGAGCTTGTTCTTGAATTCGGTGGTCTTGATCTTGATCGTTCTTGAACTTGAATGCTTGAATTCTTAAACTTGTAGCTTTGTAGAGAATTAAATGGCGTTTGTACCACAGAGCTTCTCTAGCTTCTTGTTTAGAATTTTCTGTCTCTTTTCTGAATTATGAGGACCCCTATTTATAGTTTTAGAATAGAGGAGTTGCGATTGGAATAGGATTCCATTCAGCCAATTAGATTGAAGTGACATGGCATTTGGGCTTGATGGAGCGGGCTTGTCATCTTTGACACATGTCATGATTCTATTGGTTTTTTTATTTGACTTGGCATGCCACATCATCTGCACACGTGGCGCCAAGATGGGCTCTCGAATGAGATGAGATTGGGTTTAACAAATTGGGTTCATCCAATGTGGCCCAAATCAATTAATTTAGACTTTAATTAAATCCATATTTATTGGACTTAAATATTTAACTCAATTATATCAATCCACAATATTTATTTGGATTAATATATTTATGAATTCAATATAATCCGAATTATTTTATAAATTTATATTTAATAAATTTTAAATGATTACACCAACATGCCAAACGACCTTAAACGCTTGTTAAGGTCTGTCCCTATCAATATATAACGATTTATACTTATTTTAAAATTTTAACGAACTTAGTTTATAAAAGATCAATAAAAATCTCAAATATGGTAATAAAATCAGACTTACTCCGTTTTATAAAGAATGATTTGATTTAACTTAGTACGGAGTTAAGACTATAAAGAAGAATTTTGAATTCTGTGATTCTAAACTAAAGTTAGGTTATATGTATAAAACCATTTGATCTTGTGTCTCACACATGTCATATGAAAAATTAAAATTAAAATATTATAAAAAGAAAATTCTTTTTTAAATAAACTTAAAAAAATTTTTTTTTGAAACAGAAAGAATAATACATATAATAGTTGTTATTGATTCTAAATCGAGTGATAAGCTTATTTTGTCTCAAACGTTCGATGGGCTCGTTCAGAAGGAAAAAGCCCGGGAAATGCGCCCATTTTGAGAAGGAAGATAAGATTACAAGAAGATAATTACACAAACGGATATATTCTAAATAAACCGGTCGGTTCCTCTCAGCTGGGTCATCTCTACAACCCGATTACCCGAAGAGCTCTGTAATGCAGAACCTCGTAATCCAAATACCACGTTTACGTCCTCTCCCGCCGTCCACACAATGTCTTTTGCCGGCAACAATGAGTTTATCGCCGGCGAAGCATATCAATCTCCGGCAATTCGACTCGCGGGAGTTGAAAACCAACAGTAGGAGTGTAAATCGTAGGTTCATTAGATGTATGGCGAATCCTCGACGAGTAAAAATGGTGGCTAAACAGATAAGAAGAGAGCTTTCCGATATGTTACTTACAGATAAGGTGTTGCAGTACGCTGTTCTTCCTGAAGCTGCTCTCGGTGCGGATCGATACCTTTCTTCACTTACCACTATTAGCGATGTTGAAGTTTCAACCGATTTGCAGGTTCATTTCTTTCTGAATTGGTGTTAGTTTTAGCATAATTTTGGCTTGAATCACTTGAATTTCCTAGCGGAATCTTGTAATTGTAGTAGCACTATCACACAATTGCATTTGCATCTCAGCAGCCCATATGTTATCATCAATCTACGAGGACATTTCTTTTTGAGTCAATTGGCAAGAGTGTTGAGGTGTGAAAGTTGCTACAAAGTGCTAGTTCAGTGTGTTTTTGACTATTATCTCTTCCTTTTTATCAGGTTTGAGACTGGCTATGTTTTGCTAAACTTACATAACAGGAGTTGTTAGTAAATTATCTGTTTATCACTAAACAGGCTATTGAATAAGGAAGACAGAAGTGCATATGAGAGGTTTACATTAGAGGCAATTTGTGATGAGTGTTGCCGCTGAGTTAGTGACGAACTTAGAGCGGCATATATTTTCTCTCTGAGTCTTAATCACATCATGAACTCTATGCATAAAATTTTGTTGCTCGAGCTTAATCCTTGGAGCAGATATACACGTTCTAATGTTATTATTGTAATTCTGTTCCTCAATTTAGTTGATTCTGAATTATTTAAGAAACTGAAGTAGTTCATTACAGATGTTTGATATTTATTTTTCCGATGTACCAAGCAAGGAATGATCTATATGGTTTTAGGTACTTGGTGTAGAGTTTTGATTGTATAAAGCCCCTGAACAAAAAGCATATTTGCACCTCATAGGCATTGGAAAACAGACAATCATCCCCCTTCTTTATTTCTTCCTCCCTCTTTGAACAAAAGCAATTCCAATGTTCAGCCTCCTTCTCTAAAGAATGTTACCATCTTATGCTGATATTTATTTGGGGTTGTCTCCCACTACTGATCCTGATATCTGGATTGACATGGATGAACTGCTTTTATATGCTGAAGGATGTTTGTTTAAACAGACTACACAAGTTGAGGATGATTTTATGGCTTGAAAACTAGATGTGAGCGTAAAGAAACAAGAAAACATCAAAAATTGAATAAGATACGTATGTAATTCATTTGCAGGATAAGGTCATGATTACTTTCCCCCAGGGTAGAATTGACTTGGTTTGAATTTGAGGGTATGATTCGCCAAGAAGTGATCAAACCACTATCACCATTCAGTAGCAACCAATAAGAAGATCCAATCTCAAATTTTATCTTTCTCAGGATAAAGTTGTCATATGTGCCTCTAATGTATGTGACTATGCAAATTGATGTCTGCTGTTGGCAATCAGAAATAAGATATCAACTTCATATTCATTATTACTATCTAGCTGTCACAATCTTACTACTGCATATGGGCTGTTTATGTGTGCATGTGCAGGTTCTCTCTCTCTCTATCTATCTCTAGATGTATATAGAAATTATGAGGATTTCCTTCTGTATTTATTTGGTCAAAGAATTGAAATAGTACTAGACAAAGAAAATAATTTCTCTCATTTCTATAAATGATTCCTGTGATCTGTCATATTCCCATTTGGACTCTTAGGAAAATTCTGTGCTGCTGTAGGTTGTAAAGGTCTATGTCTCCGTATTTGGAGACGAAAGAGGAAAGGAAGTGGCTTTGACGGGCTTGAAGTCAAAAGCAAAATATGTAAGGAGTGAGCTAGGGAGGCGAATGAAGTTGCGACTGACTCCTGAGATTCGTTTCATTGAAGATGAGTCCCTTGAACGAGGAAGCAGGGTGAGTAATTCTAATCTAATGTCTAATTAGAGAATTGATTGGGTTTTGGTTTTGGTTAGGGGGGTGCAATAACCCTCTTTGTGCTTTCTTGAATTTCTCTCTCCTTTTTTGCAAGGCTGTGCTGTTGTTTCCTGGCTACTAAGCCTTTTATGATTCTCCTTTCATAATTTTGTTTTGCAACCAAATCTCTCAATAATGAGGTTTGACCTTTATCTCTGACTTCCCCCTACTCAAATGATGGCCAAGTCATTGACAACACACCAAAATGACTTGTCTCTTGACCAAATCAGATGCCCATTAAACACCGGTCAGGAGCATTTTGTATATCAAGTTAAGACGTAAAATTTGCACTCGGCAGCAAGTAAAACTTGACTAGTTACCATATTAATCTCTTGCATGAGAAATAAAAGGAAAAAAATATTATATTGCTCAACAAAATCTATAAGGAATTGGTCACTAATTAAAGAAGAGTGTAGTTATTGGCCTCAATGTCCATTCTTTTTCTTCACGGTCTTTCAAATGATCCACAGCTCAAACTGTTTCTTGCATTTGCAAATTGATCTAGTGATGCTCTTGCTTAATCAACATTTACTCTGTATACAAGGAAAAAATGACTTATATGGCTTTTCACACTAGAATATATTCTCGAGAGTTGAGTCTGATTAAACCATAAGCCCTTTTCTGAAATGATGCAGTTATAAGGCTTTCTTCTCTTGCTAGCATGGGTACTGAATCTGAAGTAGATTACAACTGTGTGATTACTTTGCTTTTTTTCTGGCAGATTACTACTTTACAGTCCCTGAATGTACTTTTAGGTCATGCTTAAGGTCGAGCCAATTCTTGCAGGTACTTGCTATATTGGACAGGATTAAGGATGAGAATGAAAATAAGGATTCACCGAATGATGGATCATCTGAAAGCGATTATGATGGGGACTGGGAGGGTGACGACCCTGATGATGAAGGCATTATTTATGTTAAATAGCTTTCTAGTGCGCTCTAAACTACACTGACTCTGGACTAGACAAAACATGTGTTGCATAATGGTAAGTTTCATGTTTATTAAGTTCAGCACATTAAGAGTGAGTACAACAGTGAGTCTCCTGTGTGAAGTCCTACACAAATTTTGCCTTTTTATTCAGTGTATAGCAAATGTTGCTTTTCAGCTCATGTTCGTACTTGAACTACCCTTTCCATCGGCTAGCACTCATAGAGTGTAGCTTATACAACCTTTATAAGAACTAGACGTAAACATCGGGTAGAATATTAACATCACTTTCCTGAAGTTATCCACATTCATTTATCTCCATTGTGTTGTGTTGAGTGAGCTTATTGCTACATATGCTTTTAGTGGAACCTAATGACTGCTATTTCTTTTACAGGGTGAAGGTGTTCCCTTAGCGTGCAAAGAACATTTGTACCCTGTTCTAAACTGTCCAGCATGTTTATTTTCTTCTTCTTGTATAATTCATGTCTGATGAACGAATTATCAAAGAGTATTTACTTGGCCTTCCCTGCACAGGTCTGGCCTTGCCTCTCCATTTCAACTTATATGAGTTTATTAGCTGGTTTCATCTATTTCTGGGAAGAAATTAAAATAAAGGGGTAAGCTATACGAGTACTAATTATAATAGTAGAAATTTTCATGCGAGAGTTTGTTTTGGATGACCTGGGGTAGCAAGATACGTACAAGTGATGAAGAACAATAGATTTAAGGATTTCTGCAGATGTAGGTGGTGACTATATACGGCATTCATTGCTTCCTCTATTACAGATTATGGTGGTGGTCGAAATCCATTGTACATGATTAGAGAACTAAAAGAAAACAAAGAAAGGAATAACGATATGTTCCCTTCGCTGTCTACCTCAAACAGGAAAAAAAAACCTTGAATCAAGACAATAAGTCAGCATATCTTCATCATTAGTCGATCAAACACAAACTAAAAAAGCCTTTTCCTGGATAAGTTGATGTAACAAGAAGATTATTATGCTAGCAGATCAATGCTAACTTTTCCCCGGTTTGTCCAATATAATCCTCAAAATTGGACCACCATTGTACTCATTGGACCATAAAACATTTAATAACTCGTGAACACAAAATTGAACAGTTACAAGTCGAAAATGATGGTCAGCAACAGGGCCATAATGAAAACTGATATAATGTGATTGTCATATATTATTTTTAACAGACAGCAAATGCGGCATACTGCTCTCTTTCAGTGATGTGCCTTAGCTTCAGCTTTCTGGTGAGACTTGGCTTTAGCCTGAAATAAATAAGATGGGAAGGAGGTTACAGAGATAAGTCTACGTGGAATGACAAAGGCACATTAGCTCCTACTAAAACAATGTGGAATTCTTTGGTTTAAAAAACCAAATATGCGCAGTTGATACATGGAGCACTGTGGAAATTTTGAGGCAAAAGTTGTCTTAATATTATCCAGGCAAATTTCAAAGAGTTTTTGGACATTAGATGACTAGAAAAGAAATTCCAAACACATCCCAACACACAATGTGGATGGATGAAGGATTTTGGGTGCTCATGTGTCCTGAAGAAGGTCCATCAGAATGAGCCAACCACCAACAAAATACCATACCACAAGTGGGGTATGGGAAAGGGTAGGTGTATGCAGATCCCTTACCTCTACGAGAGGTAGTTTCCAATACCTCAGTTTAAAGAAGAAGAAAAGATAGAAAAAAAAAGATGTCAAAAGCATTCTAAGAAGAAACTCAAATACACCAAAATAATACGATAATTGAAGTGCAATAAAACAACAAACATCGAAGGACAAGAAACTCCATGACTAGTACTGCAACTACTAGTATGGAAAGATAGGTGAGATAACACTATGCTACCAACTAACCACCCACCCTAATCCATGTCCTCCAAAACCTCTTATCTAAGGTCATATCCTCTATAAGTTGAAATCGCACCATGTCCCATCTAATCACCTCCCACAACTACTTTTTCGACCTACTTTTACCTCTCATGAAACCATCTATTGCCAACCTCTCACACCTCCGCACTAGAGCATTTTAACATCTCAGCCTTGCTTCATGCATCTTGCCTTCTACTGAGGTCTCCTCCCACCTTATCCCAGATCTTTTCATTTCTAACATCACCCATGGTATGGCCACACATCCAATGCACCATACTCATCTCTATAACTTTCATCTTTTGAACGTGAGATGAAAGTTGTGGGGATGAGTATGTAGCATTGAATGAGCAACTGCACCATGGATCTAAATTAGACAACTCATAAAGATAAAGATCATTTCCAGTAAAACTTCTCTTTTAATATAAGGTGACAGACTAGATAAATAGATAAAACAGGATCTACCATACTTGGAGAGGAAGAAACTAGCTCTTACCATTCAGTTCCTGCGAGCCAATGGGGTGCAAATAAGTATTCACTATGGTCTGTCTTTTATATAAAGAAACATTTGCATCCTAAACCAACAAACTGCTCTATGTATCTTCCACACTAAAGCATAAGACTGAATTTGGGCCTCTAGTTCTGTTTGTATCAACATCATACAGGCTATGAGATAATAAATCCATGGATCTCCTTCTGCTTCTGAATCCAAATTCATCTCATGGGAGTGGATCAGGTACTCTTGAAGAAATATCCCTTGTATTTGCGCTATGCACAACGAGCGGTTATCAAATAGTTTCCCACCACCTACAATGGCTTCCTTTCATGTCATCTAATTATGCAATTCAGCTTGCTTTTACAATAGTTCAATTACCAAATCAGATAGAATAATTTGAGAAGTTCAACCTAACATCTAAAAAATTGACTGCTAAAGCAAAAAATTACAGCTTAAAGACTTTGAAGAAACATAGCAAATGAAACAATTCACACGGAGTAGCCTCCAAAATCAAGCAAAACTCCACTCTTTTTCCTATCCAAAAATAGGATAAGAAGTGGGTAAATTATGAATCAAGCAAAACCCCATCCATTTTCCGATCCAAAATTACAAATAAATAACGGCGAATCTACAAAAACGAGTAACAACTCATTCTTTTACCTTGAGATACTTGAGCTTCATGCTACCATAGACAAGTCCAAATGTGAAGGCTGAAGTACGAGCCACCTGCGCCCAAAAACAATAAAATCGATCAATCAATCAATAACCTAAGCAAGCATCAATCTAATTCTCTTCCACTCAATTCAGATCCATTTCACTGTAATACTCTCAACAATTTGATTCTTAAGACAAATCGAACGCATTGACGATTAATAAGTACATGAGATCGAAGTAAGAAGGTAAAATAGGTTTACCAGAGCAAGGGTGCTGGTTCCAGAGTAAGGTCCAGGAAGAGGTGCCATTGTTGACTTCACAAGCAGAGAGCTTCAAGATCTCTTTTACGCCCTAAGATGATTAGAAATTCACAAACCCTTAACTCTACCCAATAACGATAATTGGGTTATATGGTGTGAGCTGTGATCTGCTGTGCGCTCGCCTACTGAATGAGAATATCTTTATAGTTTTTCTTTTTATTATTAATCGTTAAATCTTAGACGATGTATATTTCCATTTTTAGCCTTGCATGAATACGAAGCCCTTATTTGTTTACTAACATAAAATAATTCTCGTAATATTTGTGAAAGTATAATAATTACTCCATTATTCTACTTAATTCACCTAGCATTAATGTATAGTATTTTATATTCCCTCCGTCCTCAATGGTTAGGCAGGTATATTAAAAGGTAAAACGATATAAATTTCATTTTTAATTTCTCTTATTCCCATTATTTCATATTTTAGTTTTACAAATTTCAAAAATTCTCAATTTCGCGCATCAGATTGGTGTATCACGTACAAAATATAATGTATTTTACTTAACGATTAATGTATCTCGCGTATCAAATTAATGTATCAGCACTTATATTATTGTATCAGTTTGAGTGATTTCCGTAATTATAAACTTATAAGAGACAAATTATAATTTTACCTTAAAAGTATGTAAAATTATGTCCTTTGCTCGTTAATTGTCAATATAAACAAAAGAAATAGTTAACAATCTTTTTTTCAATTCTACCCTAATAATTACTTCATTTTGTTTAATTGAAAAGTTATATAGACTTTTGATATTCTTGATACATTAGGGTTATATTAATCAAATTACGCATTACTTTTCTTTAATGGAAGTGCATGACATTTACTTGACAAACAATTGTGGACCGAGAGAGTATTATATATGTATAATTACTATAATTTGGAAAAATTAAAGAGAAAATTCGGTCGAAAGATTCCGGTAATTGCACAAAGAACTAATTTTCATTAGCGCTTTGATAAAACTGATTATAATTAATTTAAAATCTAGGGAAAATGAATGAATTCCTACGTAAACTTGTACTGAAAAGTCAGTTACACACTTTAACTATCATAATAATCTATTATAAACCTTAACTACTTCAAACTGAATTTAGTACCACCTTGATATGTGCAATACCACTCTCAAAGTATGCAGTGTATTACACTTGCTGTCACGTCAAAAATTTTATTGTTTAAATCTTCTTTACATTTTTTTCCTTATTGCTTATGTTTTATTTTATTAATTATATTTTGCATTAATTAATTTCTAATCAATTATTAAAGTTATCTAATAATCATATCTTTTTCATAGTAAAATGGTAAAGAAGAAACTTTTAGGAATGACCGTCAAAAAAATTATCCGAAAATTGAAGTTTAGTCATGGAGTTGAAGAGTTCTTCCATATCAAAATGTACCCACAAGAAGGTTGCTTCAATTTTTTCCATTGATTGGCCATGGAAAACGAGCTTCCATTGTTATTTTTTGCGGCTTATAGTTATAAATATTTTTCAGATCTGGATATATATTCTTTGTTCTTTTTCCATGTTTTTTCATGGAGATCTCTAAAAAATTAAGATAATAAAAAAATAATTTTCTTTCCATTTTCAATCGATCACCCAATTCACTCAAAATGTCCGTCGAAATTTCAATAATTGAAACCTCTCAAAAATTTTACTTCTATTTAAAGTAATTAATTTCTTGATTGTTTTTTGTTATTGATTTATTTTAAGTTTAATGGCTCCGAAGAAGATGAGGACGGTGGGGGTGTAAATAAAGAAAACGAGGTGTGAGGGTGGGCAGTAAATATTTTAAATTTTTTTTCTTTGTTAATTATCTGATGCGTATTTTTTTTAATTATATCTCAAATTTTAAGGGTAATTAATTTAGTTTTAAATAGCAAAATTTATGTTTTTCCCTAAAATCTAAGTATGACTTGTAAAACACGAATGGTCGAATATTAGATTCACTCTCACCCACTCCACTGAGAACTAAGTCGAGAGATCGTCGGCGATAGAGAGTAGGAGAAAGGAATTTGAAAGAAAAATGGCGTCGAACCAAGTGAGGGCATCCCACATACTCATCAAACACGAAGGATCTAGACGTAAATCTTCATGGAAAGATCCAGAAGGTCGCATCATCTGTAACACCACCAGAGACGCCGCCGCTTCCCAGCTCAAATCCTTTCGCGATGACATCATCTCCGGCAAGTCCAAGTTCGAAGATGTTGCTTCTCGCTTCTCTGATTGCAGCTCTGCCAAACGCGGCGGCGATCTCGGTATTTCCTACATCTACTGTTAGTTATTGTTTTCAATGATTATTCTGCTTGTATTGATTAGTCCAGTGTTATTATTATGAGTTGTTTTCATTTTGGTCGGAGATTTGTACGGATAAGATCTGAGATTAAAGGATTTTCTGGTGGTAGAACAAGGCTAATTTGCTTTAGAATACAAGTTAGGATTAGGAATCAGATGGATTTGAATAGTTTAGTACGGTAAATTGGATGCATGTAGATAATTTTAACTAATTGAGTGCTATATCAATTAACAAAAGATGATTATGCTGGGTTTTGATAGGGTTTAGCTAGTAATTAGCTTCAACTGTGATCTGCTTGAAGCAAAGTGTCTGGAATATTAGCTCGTTCTTAACCCATTGGAGTTGCTATTCAATTTAGGTACTTCGATAAAGGCAGACTCTAGAAAAGATCTAGAGAAAATATTGAAGTTCAGGAAACTGGACGCTAGTTATTGAATAAGCTTATATTTGTAACTATTTGGAGACAACTTCTCAGGACAAAAGAGTTGTGAATACTTGGAAATTTGGAGTTTTGTTATGTCTATCCATTTGCTTGAAGTCTTGAGCTGCACATGCAATATCCCCTCACCTCTTTTGTGCATCTACCAATTGGTTATTAGATGCACCTTTATTTTTTTGATGACAAGGGAAACCCACAGTCGCTACCTTTGGGTGCGCACAGAGTAAAACCCCCGCTCTATGCAATAGCTCGCAAACCGCATAGGAGAGGTAACCCGCACCAAGCAAGCCTGGTGCGATGAGCTCGACCCAGAAGGCAAACCCCTTGCTTTCGCTGGCAAGGGGTTTCAAACTTGAGACCTCCAACATGGAAGTCCCAAGCTTAAACCAGTGGGCATGCACCTTTATATGTCTAATCATTTTTATACCATCTTTTCTGGAATGGACTGTAAGCAAATTACGAAGAAGAAATCTTCTAATCATTTATTGCTGATAAATGAATTCACCAAAGCACTAGTCTTTTGTTTCTTCATTTACTTTTTTGTAATTAGGATGGAAGCACTAGTTTCTGGTCCTGCAAAAGTTCACTAAACAACTGCTTTTTAGGTGAAAGTTTTGATTAAACTATCAAGACTTCCTAACCTGAAAAAACATTTTCTTGCAGCCTGAGGTCATTTGGTAATAATCAGTAATGGAAGCAGACAGACCTTTGCTTATCCCCTACTTGTCTGGATAGAATAATAAGCCTTCAGCAGCATGCATTTATGCTTGTTATTTGTCATAGATTAGGAATATTGACAGGTGCTGCACCTGATTTGACACTAATCAACTTCTTTGTTTCTTCTTATTCTCCTTCCCTTTGTGTTGTTGACAACTTGAAGATGCAACCTGCTCTCACCTGACAAAAACTAGTAAATCAGTTTTACTAAAACTGGGTGATCAAACTTATTCACTGTTAAACAAAAGTGGTGCTTAAACCTGCTCAATCTTGTTCAAACCTTTTCTGCACATTCCTGTGGTGTTCTCTGTTTCTCGATAGCAGATTGTGCTGTTAGTTATCACATTAAACAGTGTAAGAACATTAGGAAAATAATATATCCTATAAGCTCTTTTTAGAAGAAAAAATGTTTAGTATTGGTATCAAGTAACTAGCATTAGTTTTATGCTGCTCCAATTCTAATAAAATTTCTGATTTTCAAATGTAAATGTTCAATGGATTAAGCCAGATCATTTTCTGTATAGTGTGTGATCTTTGTGAGTTTCTATCACTTGAGCTGAGTCCCATGTGACTAAACTTTCTATAGCTTCATAGAATTGCTGTTTTTTGAGCTCTGTTGGTTTTGCTGGACTGGTTGGTCAATGATCTAACATCTGCATTCTTATTTTGTTTCTCTAATAATGTTGTTTTGCTACAACGATGAAGGTATACTTTCAAGATATCCTCCCTAATTGCTATTTTATTTTAATATCATAGCATGTTTATATTTGGCAGATTATTGTACGCTTGACTTATTTTATACTAGTCTGTGGATATAGTAGAGTTTTTCATCCTGTTTAATGGCATATTTGTATCATTTCTAGCATCCCGAAAGGTGAATGCTTAATAAGCTCATTTCATTTGTAGGTCCATTTGGTCGAGGGCAGATGCAGAAACCTTTTGAAGTTGCAACCTATGCACTGGAGGTTGGTGAGATCAGCGACATCATTGATACTGACAGTGGTGCTCACATAATTCTGAGAACCGGTTAACATTGGTGGAGAGAGTATCTAAAGATTCAAGAGCAATTGCAAGTTGTAACGTTTTTTTAATTTTTATTTTGGTGTCTCAAAGACTACCCAGGTTTGTTTCGTTTTTTATTTTCACCACGTTTGTGATAAATTTCGATTGTATTATCAGTCAGCTACAACTCCAGATGCCTGATGTTTATAGACGTTTTAATCCATGTGTTTAAAGTTTCTTAACTTATGGCACCCTCTAAATTCAATTACCTTGTGACTGATTGCAATCTATATAAGGTTCGAAATCCTGCAAGAGTAAAATATCATTAGATGCTCTCGACTTACATGTTTCTTTTACCTTCTGAACTTTTTAATGAAAATTTTGATTTTGTTATAAAGAGGTGGTATGTACTCAGATGAAATAGCATGCATACCATTGTTAATTACGTATGTTTTTTTTTAAAAAAAATATATGGAATCTTTGTGGACCAGTTTTGGTGGTATGTATATGGATTGGCCTTTTTTTCCTGGTCCATAAGTTTACAAGCCAATTTCATTGGTGGTCAGTGGTTATGTGGTCATTGTCAAGTTGATGCACTTGCATCTTGTAATGTTGTGTTCTCTTCTTATCCATTGGTTGAAAGTTGTTTGAACAAAATGTGGACTGCGTATTTCCCTTCTTATCACAACTTGCAACTTTGACCAAAATTGTCAAATTTTGAGTGATTTTTTCCTCGTAGTTGTCACTAAATGGACGGGGGTTCAATAACATTTTTATTTTAATACAAGGTAAAATTATTAAATAGTGGCCCTTGTTTTTAAGATTTTGAGTACAACAATAAAACGAGTATAATTTCATAAATGGATGATGGGTACTAGATAAGTTGTCTCTGATTGACCTGAGAAATACACAAATAAAGGAAATCAAATCTCAAGTCTATTATGCATAAATGATGAAACACAATACACACTTTAATTTATCATCTAACAATAATATAATTTATTATAAACATGATCAAGTTTTTATCCCGACCTGACCTGTGCTCATCTTCTCTCTTTTTCTTCATTAACTTTTTCAAGGATAGAGAAGCATTCTAATATGCATCATGTACAATGAGAAGGATATAATCTCAGAATTTGTCAATTGTCATGCCTATTTTTTAAAAAAAGTAACTTTGATAAATTCAAGTCAACAAAAATAATACTCGACTTTTGGGTATTCAAAGTCAATGTTTATGGCTTGCTTTCTTCTAAACTTGGATTATATGGCTCTTCAAAATTAGAAGTTGATTAAATAAAATAAATAGAATCAAGTTTATAAGAGTAGCTATTTTTGTGACCATTACTTTATAGTATCCATTTTCACATCATTACGGAATCAAAACATATTAATTAATTTCAACAAGAAATAGTAAATCATTCTGATTCCTAGTCCCCATCAGAAGTTCATTTCACACACTTTATTTTCCTACTTTTGAATTATATTTTACAATCACAAATATAGAAGAGAAACGATATTTTCCAAAAGTATTCCGATTTTCTAAAAGAAAAAGAAAACTTCTATCATAGAGTGAAATAAATTTTATTGAGATAAAAAAAAAAAAGAAATATCAAACTTTGATTTTAATTTTAACATAAAATGAGAGTGAGAGTGAGAGGGGAAAAAGTTACTTTATGTTAAAATTAAAGTATTTTTGAGGAAAAAAACTTTGAGAAAATAATGTTAACAATGCATTTTTTTAGAATTGATTTGACAAAATGAATTAAGTAACGATAATAATTTAAAATTTTAAGAAAATTTAATGTTAGGAATCTATTTAGTAGAACAATCAGTTTATCTTTGTTCTTTATTTTATGATCTTGTCTTTTTGTTTTAATTTATGTGATAATTTTTTATTTTTTTAAAAGTAAAGAATTTAAATTTAATCGAAAATTTACATATAGTATCTTTAACTTTTTAAAAATAAAATTTATATATTTATAAATTACATAAAAAATATTATAAATTACAATATCAATAAATTAAAATATTTAAAAAATTTAACATAAAAAATAAATTTATTTAAATCTCATAATTTAAAAATGTCTACATAAAATAAAACGAAAAAGATAATACTTTTATCTCGAAAAAACAATTTTCAACACAAGTTGAATTTTGTTATTACTACACACTTAACACTTTAGGCAAAAGCCATCTCGAGAAACTAAATTGATAATTTGGCAAAAAACAAAACTAGCCGAAAGCTCATTACGACTCAATTTCGCCTTTAATTAAAAATAGGATATAATATAACTATGCGTCTATGCCTTCGTGTTGGAATTACTTAGGTTTTCTATAATATATATGAATTTGTTATTTTAATTTTTGTTAATTATAAAATAATAAATATTAATATTTCATAATTCATATGTATTTTATTTGTATCAATTCTTAAATTTCAAATTAAATATATTAATATAATATATGTACATACGTTATTTTAATTTTTGTTTCTGTCCGTATTTACTACTAAATGATCCCTTAAAACTCGATTGAATATGTTTTGTTGATTAACGATTTAAAGTTAAATTAATTTAAAATTACAAACTTTATTTCAAATCTAAACATGAAATTTAGATTTCAAAAATTGTATATTTTGACATATATGAGGGGAAAAAAATCACAAATGATGAAAATTATCTAATGAGCAAATAATAATCATAAATAAAATATCATAACAACTTAAGATAATATAACACATATCTTCATACTTTTACTTTTTCTATAAACAAAAGTCTATTATTAAAAGTTCTTAAATACACATAATTTTATAAACAATTCAGTAACTAAATTTTTTTTTTAATGTAATATAATCTTCATCATTTTTTCCCTAAAAATATTAAGGTAAGTATTAAATTTTTGAGTCTTATTGTCACCACACGTAATATTCAGTTGAGAAGAAGCAATAAAAGGGTCAAAACCTAAACCACTTTCTCTGGCTATTCACATAGCCCTTATTTCCTTTTATTTTCCCCTGTATTCTCTTCCTCGCCACCCATGGCCGCCGCCGTATCCACCGCCGTCACCAACAAGTCTCATCTTTCATCGGCACTCGACAAACCCTTTACCACGCCATCCCAAAAGCTCTTATCTTTAGCCGTTAAAACCCTCCCAAAACCCTACCACCACCATCACAGAACTCTCATTACTGCGGCCTCCAAGAACCCATTAACCGACGTCGTTTCGTCCAAACCCATCCCGGATGGACGTTCTTTTGATTCTTATTTCCACGACGATGACGATAAACCCCGTGAAGAGTGCGGCGTGGTCGGTATTTACGGTGATTCTGAAGCTTCTCGTCTTTGCTATTTAGCCCTTCACGCGCTTCAACACCGTGGCCAAGAAGGCGCCGGCATTGTTTGCGTTAATGATAACGTTCTCAAGTCGATTACAGGTGTTGGGTTGGTCTCTGATGTGTTTAGTGAATCGAAACTTGACCAACTCCCTGGCGATTTGGCTATTGGTCATGTAAGGTATTCTACTGCTGGGTCTTCTATGTTAAAAAATGTTCAACCTTTTGTTGCTAGTTACAGATTTGGGTCAGTTGGTGTTGCCCATAATGGGAATTTAGTCAATTACAAACAACTTCGTGGTGAGCTTGAAGAGAATGGCTCAATTTTCAATACTAGTTCTGATACTGAGGTGGTTCTCCATCTTATTGCTATATCAAAGGCAAGACCTTTTCTTTTAAGGATTGTTGAGGCTTGTGAAAAGATTGAGGGTGCTTATTCTATGGTGTTTGCTACTGAGGATAAGTTGGTTGCTGTTAGGGATCCTTATGGGTTTAGGCCATTGGTTATGGGAAGGAGAAGTAATGGTGCTGTTGTTTTCGCGTCGGAGACGTGTGCTTTGGATCTGATTGAGGCTACCTATGAAAGGGAGGTTCTTCCTGGTGAGGTTGTTGTGGTGGATAAAGAAGGGGTTCAATCTATTTGTTTGATGCCTCATCCTGAGCCTAAATCTTGTATCTTTGAGCATATTTACTTTGCCTTGCCTAATTCAGTCGTGTTTGGAAGGTCTGTGTATGAGTCTAGGCGTGCATTCGGGGAAATTCTAGCTACTGAAGCTCCAGTGGAATGTGATGTTGTGATAGCTGTTCCTGATTCAGGTGTTGTGGCAGCACTTGGTTATGCTGCTAAAGCAGGGGTTCCATTTCAACAAGGTTTGATAAGGTCGCACTATGTTGGTAGGACGTTCATCGAACCATCACAGAAGATTAGGGATTTCGGAGTGAAACTCAAGCTCTCACCAGTTAGGGCAGTGTTGGAGGGGAAAAGAGTTGTGGTTGTGGATGATTCGATTGTTAGAGGGACAACCTCGTCCAAGATTGTGAGGCTGTTAAAGGAGGCAGGGGCAAAAGAAGTTCATATGAGGATTGCAAGCCCTCCGATTATAGCTTCTTGTTATTACGGAGTGGACACTCCCAGCTCAGAGGAGTTGATATCTAACAGAATGAGTGTGGAGGAGATTAGGGAGTACATTGGATCGGATTCACTAGCCTTTCTCCCAATTGAGAGCTTGAATAAGCTGTTAGGCAGTGATTCTAAAAGTTATTGCTATGCTTGCTTTTCAGGCAACTATCCTGTCGAGCCAACGGGCAAAGTTAAAAGGATTGGGGACTTCATGGACGATGGATTAAGTGGGGATATGGACTCCATTGATGGTGGTTGGCTACCAGGAAGTAGTAAAGTTCAGAAGAAGATCATCTTGAATGAAGTTAGAACCAGTTAAATTTTACATGTTGCTTTAGTTTTTGCTTTGGATTTTTCATGCTTTAACTATAGAAAATTCAAATGCTTTTCAAGTTTCTTTTTTTTCTCTCCCTCCAAGTCATTCTTCTGTACTTGTATTTGGGATGTTACATGAGATTATCAACTAATCAGAATGGTTAACTATTGGACCATAGTATTTGATTTGCCAAATACACATCATTACTTTTCACAGAAGAAATAACCATAAATGGACCCGAACGATTAGGCAAAATATTCAAGTACCTAACAAGAAGGGGAACTTTGGCAAGTTTTTATGAATTGACAGTATCCATCTTTATGTCTAAAGTGCTCTGCTTTATAACATGTCTTTGAACTATGTATCTCTCTGTTGGAAGAGAAGTTCCATTGACATGAAAACACAAACTTGACACAATTTCTACCAAATAGAGCTTCTCATCCTACCCTTCTTTTTTCTTCTCCAACGATGGCGATACTGCTTTGCTGCTTAATCCAGAGATAGAAAGCAATGAAGCTTGGCTGTGATTATCATAAAATGGATGTTGATTCCATTCCATGGCATCACTAATTGTATCATCTATAACACTTTCTATATTCCAACTTTTCCCCAATTTTTGCTTGCAAGAGAATCCTTTATCTGAGGCCACGGTCTGGTTCTCCTTATTTTGGCTGTCAGTAAACTCAGAATTGCTTCTCAGGTACCTCTCGGGAATGGCTTGTTTCATGCTCTCTTCGCGTGAAACAGGACGTTTGCAGAAACTCCCAAATCCTTCTATTCCAACTGTCACTTTTCGCGCTCTGTCCCTCTCCTTCTTCAGGAAACTCCGGTCTTCAAATAGCTTTATAACCCTCTCGGACATGTTTCTAACGCTTGATCCCCAATTAAACCTGTTTTAATGGAAAACGGATGTCAATCATAGATGATGGAATTATCAAAGATTTTACCTTTACGAATTGGTGTCATTAGCTCCACGGAAAACAAAGAGATGAAAGTATAAAGACCAACCCTTTTTCATCAACATATTGGAAACTTTGCATGTGTCTGATTACATCTTCATCACTTTGAAATTCCTCTGCAATACTTTCTGGTCCATGAGTTAACAGGTATTCTAATAACATCAAGGCCTTATAAGATGATCTCCAATTTCTTCTATCAAATTTCGACAACCTGTTTTCACAACAAACACACACCAAACCAAAGATTCTAAATCAAGGGAAGTACAAATAAGATGAATCACTTGGTAATGCAACTAAATAAACAAAACCTCTTATGCAGAATATCAACTATTCTCCAATAATCATCAACTTCAAAAGCTGCACGAGATATTAGTCTCATAGTTTGCATGTTTGGTGCAATCAAATCTCCAGTTGTAGCTTCTTCAGCCAGCCTTCAAGTTAAATTTCTCATCAATAGGACATATGTGCTACAAACTAAAAAAAAAAACAACTACAAAATTCATCTATCGGGAAGTTACAGTTGAGTATGAGTAACATCTGTAAGCGCGAGTCGAGCAGTGTTGAATTTCTCTCTGAGAAAAAAGAAAGCCTGCCTTTTGAATTCATGTAACAAAGGAGAATCCATTTCCCTGAGATGTAAGTATTATTACTAAATTTTGTTATGTGGATGATCAACTGAAATGCCTTTTATTACAATCCACATGCAATGGAAATGCAACTTTACTTTATAAAGTTAAATTTATACATGCATTTTCTTTTCTTTCTTAGTTAGAAGGCCACAAATAAAGTTACAAGGATGAATCAGCTTTAGTCATTCTTCAACTTTCCCTTTTGGATAAAGAAAGATTTTTTTGAACTATGTCAAACTGTAACACCTAAGGAATACAATTTAGCAACCGACTTTATAGTATATGTCAATATCGAACGAGATAGTGCTTTTTCAACTCCTCTGAAAATGGAATATGTTGTGTAACACATGTGCCATGGCTTAAAAGAATGAATTGATATGACTCCTATTCAGTATTATGACTAATACATAGCAAACAATGATATTAATAAGCCGCTAATAATACATGAATAAGAATGGATGTAGACAACACTGTCCTTAACACACCAAATCAAATAGTGATACACAACAGTCACAAGTAATCACACCTAAGCACCTTATATACTTGATAACTTAGATCAAATAGAGCTTCCTATCATAAGTTTTTCTCTTTTTTGCTGCTTCATCCAGAGGTAGAAAGCAACGAAGCTCGGCTATGATTATCTCTGATATCACAAAATGGATGTTGATTCCATTCCATGGCATCGCTAATTGGATCCTCTATAACACTTGACACATTCTTGTGTATTATAAGAACATTTGCCATTCTTTGCTTGCAAATGAACATAGTCTCTGAGTCCATGATTTGGTTCTCTTTGTTTTGGCACTCAGAATTACTTCTCAGGTACCTCTCATCGTTCATGCTTTCTTGGCCTGAAACAGGACGATTGCAGAAACTCCCGAATCCTTTTATTCCAACTGTCACTTTTCGCGCTCTCTGCCTCTCCTCTTTCAGGAAACTCCTGTCTTCTAATAGCTCTATCACCCTCTCTGACATGTTTCTAACACTTGATCCCCAATTAAACCTGTTTTAATGTGGAAAAAAGTTTCAACTTCAATCATAGATGACGGAATCATCAAAGATTTAATCTTTACAAACTCTGTCTCTTTAACTCACTAAAGGCATGGGAAACAAAGAGATGAAAGCATAAAAATTAACCAACCCTTTTTCATCAACATATTGAAAACTTTCCATCTGTCTGATAACATCTTCATCACTTTGAAACTCCTCTGCTATACTTTCTGGTCCATGAGTTAACAGGTATTCCAATAACATCACAGCCTTATAAGATGGTCGCCAATTTCTTCTATCAAATTTCGACAACCTGTTAAGAACACATCAAAAACTAAAAAATCCCAAATCAAGGAGAGTACAGATAAAATCAACTAGTAATGCAGAAAAACCTCTTATGTAGAATATCAACTATCCTCCAATAATCATCAACTTCAAAAGCTGCACGCGATATTAGCCTCATGGTTTGCATGTTTGGTGCAATCAAATCTCCAGTTGTAGCTTCTTCAGCCAGCCTTTAAATTAAAATTTGTCATCAATAAACATATATCATTCATAACAAGTAAAAGCTACAGAATTTATGTGTCTGGTAATTCCTGTTTTTTGAGTAGTGGAAAAAGAGGAAGGGAAGTTACAGTTGAGTATGAGTAACATCTGTAAGCGCGAGTCGAGCGGTCTTGATTTTCTCTTTGAGGAAGAAGGAAGCCTGTCTTTTGAATTCATGTAACAGAGGAGAATCCATTGGGATAATTAATCGACTGAAATGTAGTTAGAACAAATTCTTGAATTTGACTGTTTTTTATCAAGTCCACATGAGATGGAAATGCAACTACTCCATTAACTTAACAAACTAACAACTACTCTATAAAGTGGATTTGCATATGTAATCTCATATTGACACTACTGAAAACATTAGGAAGGATTCAACATTTGACAATTACATATTATAAACCGTAACATCACAGTGGAATTTTTTTTTCAGGCCGTCTTATCTTCGGTGTATGTTTGCATATATCAAAATTAAACAGCTGGATGCATTGGGCCCCAGGGCGGAGCTAGTATATTTGATTTGACACAATTCAATAACTTAGGTCTAAATCTTGTATGCGTGTTAAAAGTTCAATTCCAAACTCTATGAGACCAAACCATAAACATAGAATATTAGAATTCATAAAATTCGAATCTTGAGTCCACTATAGACGAGTATTAGCACACCTTTCAAAAGTCAAAACAAAAGTGTTTGGAATTGTAGCACTTAAATAGAGTACTTAATAGGTCTAATACCACCAGCTTGAAATGCAAGTCGTGAAAATATATAGGCAATGCTTAGTTACCCAAAAGAGTAGTTAAAGAATATTAGAATTCATAGTTTTTTTATTTTAATAAAGGTAAATGAATAAAAAAACGGTTTACCAAAATGACCAACCATCTCATTACATTAATTAAGGAATTAATTGAAATAAGTATCTTATAAAACTAGATATCATGTTTTCTACAAATACAATTCACGTATCCAAAATGAACACTTTTAATAAGTTAACCAAGAAGAATGATCTTCTCAGTTGAGCATATCAATAAAAAAAACTGTAATAATATTGAATTTTGGATAAACAAAATCGTAAGGGCTTATATAAAAGCCCCAACAGTAAGCTATTATGAATCGACATATCGATCTCGTACTTGATGATAAATAAGCCACTGATCATGAGAGGAGCTCAGCAAAAATTAGAATCAGTAATAACAAAATGGTCTTTAGCCGTTCTCTGCTCTGTCATAAGCATTGGACTTGTGTTTTGGTGCAAACGAATAGCCAGAAGGAACCTTCCCGAGTACCAGCTCGGAGATCCTTACCTGTCGAGGGAATATATATAGCACATTACAATGAGAGAAGAATAAATGTTTCAAGTGCTTAACAATACTGTGTGTAAAAACAATAAATTTCGTACCCAGTCAGCAGCAGAATCAGAGGCCATTAGTGTCTCTAGTTCATCCCTGCCGTAGTATGAGGGTGATCGCCAATTTATTTTCTGTGGGATAATATCTAACAGGCCAACTGGAATGTACCGACATGTGTAGCTAAGCCACTCCAACAAAAAGTGTCTGGTTGTGTCTACTCCTGCGCTCATTTGGTGCAAACATTAGGTATAGATAATGATAATTTGTCTTCCAGAATTTCTCATATAGAAGTATATATCGCAAACAATGCAAACTGCAACCAGAATAAAAATGTACAGAGGAAAAACCCCATCTATTCAAGACAAACAATGGAAGGTTCTCCCAGCATACATGTAGCTCTTGCAATTACGTCTTCACAGATATTCAAGAAAAGAATGAATAACCATAGGATGTACAGGATGCATACATAAATTACTGGCTAGTGTAAAATGGATAACAAATTTAAAAAGAAGCATCACAGCCTCATATTTTTAAATGTCCAATCTAATAGGACGCTTCCCTAATATATCGGACAAGTGAACCTAATAGAAGAATGTTATAACTTAAGAAGGTAGATAAAAAGCAGTATCAATTCCTATCCTGGCTATAAAGGGCCAGATATTAAGCACAGTTCAGCAAGTCTGCACATGCCTGGAACATATTAAGCGTAAGTATAGCAATTCCACATGTTATCTTATCTCAACTTCTTATATATATGATGTAAAAGAACTGACATGTGATGATGTAAAGGCGACAACACTCGGGAAGCATGGATGCAAATATAAACATGATAGCTCTTTTTTTTTTTTTTGGACAAAGATAACAAACATGATAGCTCATCTTTGTGTCATGCCTCCAATAGATTGCAACAATAAACGTCGTGTCGATTGACGAGACAAACTTCTTACTGTATGATAACATTACTCACATAACTATATACCTTTCGAATCAGAACCCCAGTGTTGAAGGCCAAACCGTGCATAATCCTTCAAAATATCTAGCCGCTCGCCAGATGTAATGTCCCAGTGCCTCTGTTCCTTGATTTCGGTAAATATCCAAGGCTGCAAAATTATGATGTGCTGTTTAGTACAGATAAACTCTAAAGAGGCACATATCGAATGAACATGCAACAGCAACAAATTTTACACAATGGAAATAGAAGAGCAGAAAACATCATACCACTAACCTTTACTAATGCACCTCGAGCAATCATACATGTAGAAAGTTCAGGACACTCAATTTTGTGGTTGTTCCAGTCTACGTAAGAAAATACATCACCATTTCCAAGGACCTGTAATGACTTGGGTGCCTTCCGTGCGCATTGATACACGTAATCCCAGTCAGCAGGTTTACTGTAGCGCTGTTGACGTGATCGGCCATGTATGGTTACTGCAGTTGCACCCCAACTACCCATATCTGCAATTAGAGAATCAATGCGATTTTTCCCCTCAAAGTAAGCAGTTCGTACCTGAAGCAGGAAAACGGTAGACTGTCAAGCAACTCCATAAATTCCTTAAGAAACCAAGGGCATATGTGAACCAGATTGTGAACAATATAAACCCAGAAAACCAATAAATTACTCAACAGCTACCATTATGGTGGGGACGGGGAATGTCATATCATAACGCCAATTCATTTTTTTTGAAACTGATCATAACGCCAATTAATTGCCTATACCCAGGTATGTTGACCTCCAAGAGTTACAAAATAAAAGGGAAAGCAGTCCACCGTACCTTGATAGTTACTGGTGTACTAACTGTTGAAGAAGCAGCTTCTACTACACTCTTCATCCGCATTGGTTTTGTAAGAAGAGCTGATCCAGCACCCTTGTTAACCACAACATCAATTGGGCATCCCATGTTAATATCAATGAAATCCACAGAGCATTCTTGTTCTATAAGCTCAACTGTCTTTGTAATAGTGTCTGGAAATGCTCCACAAATCTGAACACCAAACAAATTTTCGGATGAATGCCGTCTCAGCAGTGCCCACTCAGCTGCTTGGCCCTGCATTAGCCATAATACGTAAATTAATAGATGGTTAAGTTACCTCAGGACCCATCCCACCCATGCTCGCATGTCATAAATCATCAAATGAACTCCCGGCAAGTCTCAAATAGGGAGAAGGGTTCTGGGACTTAAAACAACCAAGCAAAAGAAAAGGTCATTTGAGATGGAAAATGGTGGACAAGAGGCAAGGACATGATTATCATAGAAGCCAAAGCTACCTATCCATAACTGAACAAGTTGTGTACCCACCATACAAAACCATTGCAGATGTTTCTCTAAACTTGAGGATAAGGTAGGGAACACATGAAGATTTATTTCTTGTGGAAACCAAAAGTATCACACATATCCAATTTAGTTGCATTTGAACGAACTCATGAGTCAAAGGGTTAACAAGAAAATAAATGCAATTTTTATAATAGCAATCCTCGGCTAACTTCCTAACCAATAAATTACCACAGAGAGTTTTTCACTGAGCCTAACTCTCGTTCACTCTATCTTGAGGCATTCAAGAATAATTTTAATGCTAACTTGTGTTTATCCCATCAATAATTAGCAGCGACTGACCTGCAAGAGATTTGTGCACATTGCCATCTCTCCACATGTTACATCAGCTCCTAGCACCTTGCAAACTCTACGAAAAGGCAGATTCCCAACTGTAGTCAAAGGAGCAAGATAGAGCTTGTCTCGAAAATCAATAAGTTTTTTTTCACGGGGGTGCAATTTAAGGCTTTTATCAGAATCTGTCATCGTATCAGCAGTTGGCTCTGATTTATTCACACCAAAGTTGTCATCAGGAACTCCCCCTTGAACACTTAAACCTGTCAGAATAGATAATATCAGGTTCATAAGCTTTTATCTCTCCATAAGAAACAGCCTGAACGCTCATAAAGGAATAAAAGCATCTAACAACCACTGCTAACTTGGGAGGGACAAATTTCACTGACAGATGACTTTGCCTTCTTTAAAGGTCTAGCATCATCAGCCAAATTATTTCCATCTACATCATCTTCTGGTGAAATGGAAGGACTGACACTGTCATTAGCAACTACATTGCTGTCTGTTTTGGTGTCCGTGGCTGGCTCTTTTGGCGTGACTTGGCCATTTTCCACATTATCGGCCAATGTTTTATCTTTAGGATTGCCCTATAATAATAAGTTATAATGATTAATGAACAAGAGAAACAATACACAGAAGAAAAAAGCATACAGGTATGACACTGCTTCCAAATGCTCAAACATCTTGTTCATCAGGCTAAAAAATCTGTCTAATGACTCTTTCCCCCAAATTTTATATTGAAGAATGGAAGAAGAAAATGGCGAGCTGCACAAACCTTAAGTCCAAGAAGTTTGAGAGTGGCTTCAGCCTTGGGAAACTTCATTTTGTTTTTCCACAGAAGCTTCTGAGTGTCCTTACTGAAAAAATTTAGTTCAGAACTCTTCCCAGGCAAATTCTCAGATGGAGCTGAAACATTGTCTCTATGAGTCCCTGCAAACCTACAAGCCAATCCATAAGGACATGGCCCTTCATAATCCAGAAAAGGGCAGCTACCCTCTATATCAGCTGGTTTCTGCACTCGAAACAACAGCAAAGATTGTGATTTTATGGCATTCCGAAAAGCATAACACGATCAGAACGATAACAAAGATGTTATTTCTTAGTTTACCACAGCTTTAAAAGCTTCTACATCGTGACTAAACCGACATTTATCACCATATGAACACGCACTAACTTTTCTTGATTTGGCCACCACAGGACAGAGATGCAATGGAGATTTTTGTTCCTGCAATCATTTCAAACATTTCATTTGCAGAAACAAAATAAACTCAAGTTCGAATCAGCTATGTGCTAGTCGGGTGGGCTACAAATGTCATCTATCTCTTACTGTATTTAGACTACCTCATTCCATACTAGTAAGTAACTTCTCATTACAATTCAATTCGCCAAACAAAATTAAACTTTTTTATATATACAATGAAAATCACCTCGCGACGTTCACGCTTAATTTGGCGTTTGGATTTTTTGTCCTTAAGAAGAGGAGCTCTTTTGGCCTCAGCTGCATCATCATTTTCGACTCCGACAGTGGTGTTGTTGTTGTTATTAGTAGAAGGTCTGGAAGGTGGAGGGCGAAGATACTCTCTCTTCACGGGAGCCTTGGATTTAGCAACCAACTCTTCTGGGGTTAAAAATTCTTCACTCACTCCTCCGTCGGCGGCGTTCGATGAAGTGGGTTGCAGTGGAGTTTCCGGCTGCGCCACCGCTGTTGCGGTTGCCACCGGCAACTCGTCCACTAGGGTTTCGGTTTCCATGAAGTGTTTTAAGTGTCGAGTTCTAAGATTACGTTTGCGTTTTTAAAGTCCCGGTAAACTGTACCTTTTAAACGGATAAAATAAAAATAGTCTCTCCAATTATTTGAAATAGATTATATATATTTTTTATTTATGTTTGAGATTAAAATTATCGTTATAACCTATATTTGGTCTATAAATATCTTGAAACGCTATATAATGTGCTGACAAAACTATTTAATATGGCAAAAATCTCTTCCTCTCAATTATATTGTAATTACTTGTTCATTTTGATAAAAAAAAATAAAAATAATTTTTTCATTAATTTTGATTGAGTTATTGTTCAGACTTTAAAGTTCCAATTCTGAAGAGCTTTGTAGTTCTTTTGAGATAGTAGTTGTATGTTGAATGGTCGAGTTCATTATTTGAGTTTTGATATTATCGAATTTAAGGTTAAAAATTTAATTCTAAAAGTTGAAAGATGTTGAAATTATCCTTTTTGTGTTGAAACTCGAAAATAGCTACTCATTTGAAAACTTATTGATGAGAAATTTCTAACTTTTTTGAAGTACAAATTTTGTAGAGATTTAATTGAATGTTAATAAAAATTGCTTCCAAGTAAAGCTAGAAAATTGATATTTAAAAAGTAATTTCTTAGTTTGAAGATTGATGTATAAGATTTGAGTTGAAATCCCAAAAAAAAAATAAAAAATATATATATATATATATATATATGAAAGAGTTCTAAAAAGCTTGAAAATCTAAAAATCTATGAATTCCAAACCTAAACAATAAATTCGATGCTTTAACATGCAATTACACTTTCAAACACACACTTTGAAATTCAAGTTCCAAAGTTCGAACAACTCAAACAAGAATAATGGAAGAATTGTATATTGTTTTCTTTTTGTGATAGAGATGAACGAGGAAGAACAACATGATTGAGAGGAAGATATTTTTGTCATGTTGGACTATTTGGGTGGACTGTCATGTTAGCTCTAATTGTACAAATAATGTTTTAAAGGTATTTGTGGTTCATAACATTGACGGCGAGGATAGTGTAGATCCAAAACATAATTAAATGATATATATGAGCTATTTTGAATAGTTTGAAGATAACTTTAACCCTTTACCATTTTACAAATGAATATTTTCTGGAAAACAATATGACACTTTTAATATCGGAGCCAAAAGGGCAAAAAAAATTGAGGTTCAAATCAAAAGGGCAACATTTGGATAGATATTATTAAATCGTTGGTTGGAAGATACACATGTCAGCATGCGCCTTCCAACCAACGATTTAACGACATACATCTTTATCATCAATTTTATTGCCTTTGCTCAATTATTTACCTTTTTCACTTCGGACTCTGTTATTCACCTTCTCTTACGTTCAAAATTAACAAACATATAACATTATGAATTATTATTTTTAATTTTTATACTTGTAAATATATTGTACTAACTTTTATAATTCATTTGTTACGGAATTTCAAAGTCTAGTATTAACTATAAAAAATTTCATGATTTACCTATGAACTATTGAAGAAACGTTAAGTTTTAGTATGTTTAGATTCATATTTAAATGTTTTAATATAAAGTTTCACAATACGAGGGATCATTTGATACGAGAATACAAAAAGTCATATAATGAATAATTTATAATAATTTTGAGATAAAATGTAGAAATATTTTATAACTGATCTCATAAGATAAAGAGATGTCAAGAGGAAAAATGATAAAAACGAAAAAAATTAATAATAAATGAATAAAAACGTTAAAAAAATTAATGTCAGAAGTGGGATTTGAACCCACGCCCTCTCACGAAGACCAGAACTTGAGTCTGGCGCCTTAGACCACTCGGCCATCCTGACTTTGCTGTCCATATTTCTATAACATATTAATATATTTAAAATAGACATATCATACAACTATTTAACCAGTTTTCATCACGCCAGAAATGGAGTTTCAGAAATAGATTATATACTTCGTCTTGCTGGTGTAAATATGCGAGGCCGATGAGTCTTAAACTTTGTCTTTACACATTTCGAATTTTAAACTACCGACCATGTGACCACTTTTCAAACTTCAAAAGTTGGTTATTTGTGAAAAATCACTATGAAGTTACGAAGTTTGAGAAGACACATTTTTGTAGGAAATATTCATTCCGTTCATATATTCGAACGTGGTTAAAAGAACATATGCGCCAACAAACAAAACAAAACAGGATAGGATGTTATTCTCTACATAGTATTCTTTTCTCATATCGAATAGCTTGCATGAATTTGATGGGTATGGGACGAATCTAGGAATAAAATTTAACATATTACTTCAGAAAATGCACTACTACTTGTGTATTCCATACGAAGGTAAGTCGACATACTACTCTAAAAGCATTTGTATATAATATAGAGAAGGTGAGGATGGAGACCACAGTAATTGTAAAATGTCACCAGAGAAATAAAAAGGACAGAAGAAATTAGTAGCCAATGTAGTTGTAACTCAAACGAACATGAAATAGGCAAATTTGAATTAAACTTCCATAATAACAAAACGAGTCAAGTTCATATGACCTTGAATTCAATATCCTTGTTGAACAAAAAAAAAGAACCAACTGTATACATCACAAGACTCTGTGACTAAGTAAATCCAATGAACATGCATGTCCTATAGATAATAAATACCAAGACTCGGTGTGTTTTGTTGTGAATGCAGAACTAAATGAATGAATGCATTGAATGATATGAAAACACTTGCAACATCTATTGACAAACTAACATAAATATTATGAAGATGAGATATTTCCCAAAAGCTACTACTTTGATTCATGCTTTGAAGTCGTCGAGCTGTTAAGTTGTTGTCGTGCTTGAGCATGTTGTTGTGGCTGAGATGATTGTTGCTGCTGCTGCTGCTGTTGCAACTGATGCATGTTTAGCTGATTCGATTGTTGCTGCTGCGATTGGAACATCTGAGGATTTAGAGATAGCTGCTGAAACTTGGAAGCGTCTGCACTAAGCTCTGCGGTTGCTATCTTCAAGCGTTGAACTTCAGCAGTTAATGCTTCATTTAGAGCTGTCATGGCAAACACTATTAGGTTTCATATTTTTCTTCTATAATACCAAAGAATCTCACAAGCATAAAAATACACAAAACATCTGGCCTGTTCTCTATTAGCATTGAGGGAAACATCAAACAACATAGAAGCTTAACATCGTCAACCCCCACCCCCAAATAAACAGAAACAAAAAAGATGGAAAATTGAAGCATAGACTCATGGTACGGGTTAGTGAATCGATTTCTAGCAACAAAAAAGAAATGATAATTAGCAACGTAGAGAGTCACAGATGAAACATGAGCTGACAAATACATGAAGTCATAGATCACAGAAGCACGGTTTATACCATCACGAAGTTGAGCTTGCTGTTCCATGGCTTGCAAACGAAACTTCAGTTCACTATTTTGGCTTGTCAGCCCAGTCGCATCTCTCTGAATGCAAGTACAAGATATTGTTAAGCAGTGATAATACAATGCTTAGAAGCATTAAACAGGACAATATTGAAAAGTTTATCACCTGCAAGAGGGTCAGTTGAGCAGATAATGTGGTTGCTTCAGTCTGCAATGTCTGAACCTTGTGTTCTAATTCTGCAATGTATCTCATCTTTCTTTCTTTAGAACGAGCAGCAGATTGACGGTTGGCTAAAATCCTACAACAACAAACAACAAAATAGGGAATGTCAGCTGCAAAGCATAGAGAAAGGATATTGAAAAGGCAAATAGATGCATCACTTCAAAGGGAAATTGACCTTTTGGCTCGTTTTGGATCTGCTAAAGCTATCTCTGCAAGTTTTTCATTTGCCATAATTTTCTTCAATTCAGCACCACTAAATTCACCATTTCCAAATTCCAAACTGAAACTGTTTGAATTTCCATCAAGTGAATTGGTTGGTGAGAGTTGGCCTGGGCGTGGTCCAGGAGATGGAGGCAACTTTGGTGAATCATCGATGAAGTTTAACTTCCCCATAAAACTATCCATCGAAACACTCCTGTAGTGTCTAGTGGTTGGAGCGATATCTCCCACAGCACTCCTTTTGACCCCTTCTCTCTTCTGCATACTGCCGCTGCTACTGTCATTGACACTGCTTGTAGCTTCATTATCACTGCTGTCACCACCATTCGTCTTTGTACCACTCGCTCTACTATCTAAATCTTCACGGTTCTCAATACCCAGCTTCTCATCAGTTCCCGAAGAGTTAAATGCATCAATGTTGTCCAAATTCATATATGCAGAAAACAGGTCGTCCACAACTTCTCCTTCAGATTTCCTCTCACCCATCCCTTCAACATTGTTATTATCATTTCCTCTTTCCCACATAGATTCACGTTTAACCAACTGAACTGGTTTACCACCCAAATTATCCCTTGAAGGAACTGACCTTTCAAGAGCACCAGGACTCCTTAGCGGAACAAGTGGTGGTGATGACTGCATTATACCAGAAAAGCCGAATGGTATATCACTATTAGACCTCCTATGAGCCTTACGAGGAGGAAGACTCTCCCCTGCCCTCGATGAATTACACCTAGAGAAAGGCGTAGGCGGCAATAAAGAATGTGAATTGCCATCCTGATCACCCATTGAGACATCAGCAGATATCGGGTCAGACATAGACGTGGACGGGGATTCCCTATACGGTGAAGGGCTCAAGGGTGGCAAGGAATCCAGTGAGAAAAACGCTGGTTGTGATAAAGATCGCGAGTGTGATGGCCCTGCACTAGTAAAGTTCTGCATACCCATTTGCTGATTCCCTGGCCTGGTTACAGGGATCTGAGAATATGGTGAAATAGGGGGCATTTGCGGGTGAGAAGGCGGTATACCTACTCTTTTACTATTTTCAACACCAAAATTGGGAGAAAATTGCCTCATTTGACCCCTAAATTGAGAAGTTGTCAACTGGGGTATGTCCAATTGGTTCATCGAAATAGGTTGAAGCTGTTTAGGAAGTGAAGACGATGATGTCCCAAATGATGATTGAAGTCTCTGGACCATATCACTATGACCTTCGTCATT